GTAGATTTTCAGCATAGATTTTGTTGTTACCAGTCTGCCATTTTATTCTGAAATAAGGTGCAGAGGCAACTCAAGGTTCACAAAAGTGACTGGCATACTTAGTCCATTCATTTCCATTTAGCTGTTACTTTACAACTTACTATTCCTGGTCGCTTTTACTGGTTCACATACTAACATGGTCAGAACTGTACTATTAAATATGCAAAACATGCCTTCTGGTAAAAGCAGGTTTTCCATTGTCTATATGGATGATCACTACATGTCTGAGCTTGACACATGCTCTCACAAACTCTATCATGTTTTGTAAATCCTAGTTGAGTATTAACCATGCTCTAGCTCAGTAACCTCTGTCAACAAGTACATTTATTCCCCTCTAGAAGTACAGAAAAGCAGTGCAAACTAATTAACAAAAAATTTACAGAGAACGCAAACTACTCATATTATTGTAAACCAGATTCTTCAGTTCACAAAGTAGTTTTCACTCACCACGACTTAAATACATTATGTTGTACCTTAAATAGCAGAAGCTTTAACTAAATCTTAAGAATTAAAAACCTTCATGCAGTCAGGTAAATGATGACACCTCAATACATACGAAAGCTTTTCTTAAAACTGATTTGTTTTTCAACTTATATGCTACTTACTCTTTCCAAATCATTCTAGCACCAGCAAGGAAGACAGACTTTTCAGAAACTGTCGCAATAAGGTGTAAGACTTCTCATACGCTAACACACACTGCAATGCCTGGGTAGCAAACCCTGTAAGACAACACTTCTTGCCAATGCAAACTACATCTTTATTGATCAATGACTGGATAAATATGTATGGCAAGAATCAGCCTTCATTGTAATCTCTGAAAATCAAGCCATTCATGCAGAAAATTTGACTTGCCTATTATTCTCAGCATTATTTTTCTGTTGTTGACCCAGAAAACCCAACAGCTCAAATTGCACATAAGCCATTGTTATCTTCGGCAGTCATTTTCAATCAGGGCGAGGATCTTTCTGATACTGCATCTCCACAAAAAACGCGTCAAGGCTTGATACGGTGCACAGAAGCAGCTTTAGTTAGTGTTCTGTGTTTTTCTGAAGTCTGCTGCAGACAATGGAAACTTATCCTCTCCTGGTGACGCACTGTCCTTTTTTTCGGCTGTGCTTGCTAACAAGAAGTTTACCTGTAGCAGCAACATCCTTCTTGCAGACATTGAGTTGGTCTGTTTTCCCTAATCTAATTAATTTCATTTCTGTACCAAAACATAGGTCTTAAACAGTCTCCCTTGCTACAGTATATTTGGGTTCTGGAATATTGAGACAAGCTCAAAATATCAGCACTTCTTTAAATGAATGTTGCATGCACACTTTCTCCCTCACTCCAAAGAATGAAAAGTAGCCATTTATTAATAAATGTATTTCTTTTCCCTTTGTGATATGAAAACCGTGATAAAGATGTGAACCAAACTCCACTGCTAAAGCCTTTCTCTAATGGACCATTTCCCAAGAATCACTCAGCTATCAAAATTCCACTTCCAGTAACATTAAAGCAGTGAATATTTTATCAATTGTAAGAGAGCAAGCACTCTATTTCTTACATAAAGCAAGAGTTATATTATATGAAGAAAAATAACTGTGCCTTAATTCAACAGGATCCTTTTACAAAACTAACTCAGAAATTTTGACCAGTACATGCACCATACTGAGCTGCTGCTGGAGAACCAGAGCACACCCTTAACTTCAAGCAACTCCAGATGCACTTTTCCAGACAGGTATGTAATAACTCTTACACTTAGGTATTCAGCTGAACTCAGCCTGCAAAATTAAACAGCTCTAGTAAAAACACTGTCCTCAGCCTTTCCTCTGTCCCCAGTTCCCAACTCTGTGTCCACCTCAGTTCCATCAACACAAATGTTTGCACACTGAACCAGGGAACTTGTCAGCCTAAACAAATATTCAACAAAATCAAAACTTTTTTTTTCAGTCAGATCAGTTTTTCAAAGCAGTTAATCCCCTGCTTTTAATGTCACCATGCAAGGAAAAATACAGACTATAACTGAGCCAGCTTAGGAAACATTGCCACTGAATTTGCAGCATGACCGAGGCAGGCAATCAGCTCCAGCTTTCTGGTTATTCAGCACAGTCAACAACTGCAGCTACACTCTGCCTTCCTTAATACTTATTCTGCATAGACACATATGGCAATAAGAGTCATCAAACTCATGTGCACCACAGGAACAGTAATACCACTGTATAAGCCCCTCTGTGTAACCTAATGCCCAAGTGACAGATAAAGCAACGTTTTCTGCACACTAATATATGCAGCAATGATGACATTTAGAGAAGATTTTGTGTGCCTGGAGATACATTTAGGGTTTTTCCTTCATCTGCAACAGCTGACCTAATAAAACCTCCCTCAATCTTCCTTCAGTCACATTCTTAGACTAACACAGCTACAACAGTATCACTACATATCTTATTTTAAGGTTGTTTTGCTCCTCAGTGAAGAATTCAAAGCTTCAGAATCCTGTTCTAACAAACTTCTTTCTGAGTAAGCCTATTCACAACAGAGTATCCACTCCTGAAGCACCTTGAGATACACGCCTTCCACACTGCATCCTGTTAGAGGGCAGTTCCCTTGCTCCTGGCCCATAACAGTTTTGCTTACGAATTTGTTCAGAGAGAACGAATGACTAACAAATTACGTAACTTGACTTTAAAGAATGGATGGCCACATACTAAATTTTAAGGATTTTTGCAAAAGGAAATACACTACATGCTCAGCACCTTTTTTATTTTTTCCCTGTTCTATTTATCAAGTAAAAAAGCATGGAAAAACCAAATATATATTTAAAAGCCAGGAAAAAGACTGAAAATTAGCAATAAATCTGTGCATTTCAAGCAATGTACTATAGCATTTCTTCTTCTTCCTCACTGTATCTAGCCTGATAAAGTGTCATTCCTGTTCCTATCACCCACCATCACTCTGACTTCAGCAACTCCTAGTGTCTAGCATTGTCTGTGTGCTGTGCAGAGACAACCATGCATTGTCACATGCCTGGAATTACTAGTTGCTTGTCTGTTTTTTAATGTTGAAAAGGACAACACCACAGGTTGAAACTCATGGAAAGCTCACTGAACTTGATGTTCAGCAGAACAGAAGCAGGAAATAAAAGCCAGCATAGTTAGAGGAAGAAAAGGACAGTTTTCCTTTTAAAAAACAGTAAATAATTTGGTTTGGGTTTGCTTTGTTCTTGGGTTTTCTTGTATTAAAAAATTGTCAGGAAAGGTCTGAGGAAGAATTATAACATTAAGAGGCAAGCTCAGTACTAACAGCGTAACAAATACAAGTTATTTTCTCCAGAGAGTAAGAATGTTCCTTTATCCACTGCTGACTCCTCCACCATGTTTAGCCCAATAGGCTTGGTCTGTACTTTTGCATAAACAGGATCTAAATATGGCATGTAGTGTGTTATGGAGACTTGAGATAAAGGACCATAGGCATAACAGCCTGTTTGTTTCATTTGCATGCAGATTTTAGACAACAGCAAATCTGTCCTAAAGTAACTGCCTTAGGCATACATTACCACAGCTCTCAGTGTTAGATGTGGACACTAACAGATTATGCACATAAATTTGATTTAAATCAGGAATGAACACTTATCGACTATTTTTTTTTAATTACCCATAGCACAACAGAAAATTTGCCTCAGTATTATGCTTTTACACTGGCTGCCGGAGGACATACATCTGATAACAGTATAGAATTAGAGTGGATAAACAATACCCAATCTGAAGCAAAGCCTGCCAAGGCACAGGTCTGGAAAACTTTTTCAGAATACTTGAAATGGCCAGATGAGTTTGGGTCTGACATGCTTTTCTGCATATGGGGCCGACATGCTTTTCTGCATATGGGGCCATGAATTCTTTAATCTGGTCAAATGCATTCCCATCACACTCAAAGCCCCAGAGTATGCAGGTTGTGAAGAGAGGTGGGGTTTCAGGAAGGCTTTGAAATGAAGGTATGATGCTTCCAATTAAGGCATCTACATTAAGACATTCCAGAAAAATCAGCTGACACCAAGAAGAAGCAAGTTTATTATAGCAGGGTAGATTTTTTTAGGACTTTATGCTGCCCTCAGACTCTCCTGACAAATAAGAAGCTAGAGCTTGGGTGTCATTTATGTTGCTTCATGCTACGAGCAGTCCAAAAGCTGGATTATCCAAAAATATTTTCTTCTCATGAGGGCAAATCTCTGCCAGGACATCTTATGCTTCTGTTCCCAGCCACCCTTTATAAAAAGGGGCAATGACGAAGGTATCTCAGCTCTCCAACTACTCAGAGCTGCCACCACTACACTGTTGCTGCCCATAGGGCGTCATACACTGACTGTCAGCCTGTTCCAAGGTTTACTTACCATCAATCCACAACCTGTCCTACGATTCAGGTCTTGATCCTTGAAAAATTATGTTTCTGCAAATGCAGAGAGCTTCCAAGTAATGGTATCTGACACAGTCATCTCCGTTTTCCTGTTGTCCTCATGTCCTCCCTTTCTTAGGGCATGAGAAGCAACCAGCTCCAGATGCTGTATCACCTTGTTTGTTCCACCCTTGCCATTATTCCACTCACTTGCTTCCACCTTACACCTTAACGACACGCCTACCAGGGAGCAGCTCTGCCAGTACTTCTTCTTCAGTGGCCACACTACATTGACCAGAGTACTTCTTGACTCCTCAGAAACCCCACATCCATCTCACTTTGCTACTACCTGATTATTTTCAGAATTTACAATGAGCTGTACACCCATGTAACCACTCACTATCCAGCGCTGTCACCACCTGCAGACAGAGCCAGCAGAATACAAGAATGTTTTCCCAGAAACGACTCCGACTTGGTAAAATCAAGTTCCTATTTTTGTACCATCTAGAAGCTGTGATATTTTAAGAGTAACAAAATACTTGTGGGAGAACGCAAATCTAAATCCTCCCAGGCCAACTCCATTCTCTTACCTTTCTCAAAGACCATTTCCCTGCTCAAGATGGTCTCGTTATCTCGGATCACTTCTCCCGTTACAGTGACCAGGGCTGGGCTGTCCGGCAGCAGGGCTATCCCAACACTCACGTTTGCTCCAGGCCTGATGTTCCAAGGAGCTGCCACCAGGAACGTAGGGCTGGAAAATCCAGACAGGCAGAAGGAGAAAGGGCAGAGAGTGAAATGAAATCCCCAGGCAAGTAACAGCGTCCACATAACAACGTACGATACATGTTGGAAGGCTCTCTTGTCGCACCCGCGGCGGAGGCAGGAGGTGATGCCGGCTGCGGACAGGCTGCCCGGCGGCCGCGCGGTTGCCCTCGCGGGAGCGCCCCGCTGCCCCACACTGGGCGGGGAGGAGAGACGCGGCGCCCCGCACCCCCGCCCGCACCCGACCCACCCGGCCCCACGTACCCGGCCGCCGCGGAGCCGCAAAGGAGGAGGAAGAGGAGGACAGCGCCCAGGGTCCGCGCCATGGCCCCCCGTGCGCTCTGCCCGCGGGTCCACCGCTGTGCGCACGACAGGACCGGGCCGGGGCTGGAGCTGGGACTGCGGCCGGAGCTGGGACTGGGGCCGGGGGGGAGGCGCTGCCGCAGGCGGGGGAGGGAAGGGAAGGGAAGGGAGAGGCCGCTGCTGCCCCAGCGCCAGGCACCCTCCGCCGCTGGCAGCCGCATGAGCACCCGGGGGGCGTTCCCTAGGCCGGCCCGGGGGAGAGGGGGGGGCAGCGGGGCACATGCACACACACGTCTACGTCCACGGGTGTGTTTTTGCTCCCCGCAGCCTTAGCAGCCGACGGCTTTCAGGCGGATGCAGCTGGAGAATGGGTGGGATTCCCAGTCAAGCACAACGTCGTACAAAATAAACGCGGGGAGTAATGTTTTGCGCCTGTAGCGTCGAACAGAGTGGCAGCCTGTGTTGGGAACTGCCCGTGTACCGATAAGGCTTTGCACTGCAGAGACTTGGCGAGCCCGCCGAGGCGCGCTGGCCTGGGGCTCGGGCGCGGAGGCAAGAAGGGAACGTTTCTGGGTCTGAACGGGGAGAAATTAAGGGAGTCCTATAGCTGCTTAAATGTGAACCGATTGATAATATAGCTCTAACTGGACTGTCCTGTGCCCAGTACCTGCAAAATATGGTCATGTCTGCATACGTGTCTTAACCCACTTTCAGAGTCCAAAAAGTGCACTGAAGCAGCTTGGATGAGATTCTGTTCCTCTAGCATGTTCATTGTAACTGTGTACGCCATACACAAGTGAAGATGTTTCGATTCATCTGAATTCTTTCATCTTTGCAAAAACCTAATACATTCAGAAATTCCACCCCGCTCTTGAAGTCTGCCTCTTCAAAAGTGCCGGGCTGGCATCCTCTGCAGACAAAATACAGTCAGTTATAGCCCTGAATAGAAGTACCGTGTTTTGTTCTTATGAAAATTAGGTATTAACAGTAAATGTACATAAATGCTGTGCTCTAACAGTATCCAAGACAGTCATGCAGTCTTTCCACGTCTTTTAAATTTGCTTTTGTAAGTTTTCATACCTCTGCTGATTCTTTTTGGAGTGCCAGTCTTCGTAGTGACAGGAGAGAGGCTGCCACCTCTGTAGGCTAGGGAAGGGGCAATACTACAGCAACCACAGCTGATGCCTGGAAAGTCAGTCAGTCTGGGCAGCTCCTCAACTGCAAAAAGTGCATGATGAGGCAAAGTTTAGCAGATGTTTGCTGTTGTTATTTATAAGTCCTTGACTCATTGCTTGTGAAAAACAGGCAGGGAAGATGGACAGTCACTGTCATTCCTTTCATTGGAGATGGTGGGGAAAAGTACTTACAAGTAGTGCTGCATCCCAAGCACCCCAGCCTTGCATGCTGCTCACAGTACACATTTCTCCAGTCTCTGGCACTGAGCCCAACTGGCACTCCACTATACCTATTAATACTAATCAGCTCTCTTAGTCTCCAAAACAAGGTGGCCATATCCAGACTTCCTGTTGGGTATGGTCTATGCTAACCCTGAAACCACAAGCAAATTGTTCAAGAGAGCACTTGCTGGCCAGGGCAAAAACATGCCAAGGTCAGCTTGAGCTTAGACACAATCAACTTCCAGTCCGAAAAACATTTGCTTGCACTGTTTAATTCATTAGCATGGATGTAGCCCAAAAGTCCGTTAGCAAAGTGTATACAAACGTCAGAGATTTTGCCCATTTGTGCAGTAGTATTGTGGACTCCCATCCTCCTATTTAATTGTAAAGGCTTGTTATTTAAAGATACTTTTGTATATGTATTTGATCTGTTCTACAAAAATACCAATAAAGAAACCTGACAGAAGGAAGTAAGAGAAGAAATGGATTATTAATATTAGGATTTCATCTGTCCTGAATAGATCTATTGATGATAAGAAATGGTTAAAGAGAAATTGAGGGTTAGGTGCCATTCCATAACAATGCAAGCTCCATTTCTTACAGGTATGTCCATGTACTGAGAGACCAGTTAAATTAGTGGATGACAGTCCTACCACTTGGAGATCTCTGAAGCCCCGAGTCCTCTGAACATACCCCATTCATTCCCTTCCTAATCCAACACAGAGTTTCCTCTTCTGGAGTTATACCACCTTTTGATTTCCTCTGCCTTGTCAGAAGACACTTAGAGCCCCTTGTCATAATTTCATTCAAAACAGGTTATACTGTGCTGTAGGTACATGTAGAGGGTTTTCATGATTAAACATACCATTTAGGAAACAAACGTGTCACATAAGGGTTCAGTAAGTTCCCAGTTGGCAGAAAACTTAAATACATAATAGGCCACTTCATACACAGTTTTAAGAATGGTGTCTTAGCAGCATCTAATCAAGGTCTTGATTTTCAAAAGTGCTCCGCAGCTGCTAATTTTCATTGTAAAATGAGTTGGGGTTTCCCCAACACTTCACCACTTCAAATCCTACATTCTTTTATAAAATGTGGTCCTTCTTTGATGGCCAAATGCACTAAATACTGTACCTGAATAGCATACTTGTACTGTGGGATGCTTCCCATGAGAAAGCCAGCCCCGGGAGCAACCTCTTCCATTCTCCACTCAGCATCTCCCAGCTCTGCAGCCTGCAGCCCTCCCAGTCCTGCTCTGAAGCATATGCCATGCAGCTCTTTCTGGACAAAGGTTTACTTCTAAAACAGTACATTTCAGTGGCCCTATTCAGAATACAGCCCCATCAGTGGTTTTCAGCACAATATGTAAATAGGAAACAGTGGAGAATGGGCAGATATGAGGTAAAACAAAGAAATTTTAAGCCAACTTCAGCCCTACAGCGAGCCTAATCTTAAACCTCCTCTGCACATTCCTCTGTACGCAGAGAATAAAAATAAGCCAGGAGTAACTGGAAAATAAGCATACAGAGAGAACTGAGCTAAGCCGGTATCCTGTTGATGCTCACTATGTGTTAACTATTTGTTCTGTTAGACTTTACTTGTGCTTCCGGTAAACGTCATTTATCACGTGACCTTACTGACAACTGTTTGTTCTATTAGACTTGTGCTCAGTTAAACATAATTTATCACGTGACCTTACTGACTGATGGCAGGACTGCACACTGTTAATCTGCTCATTCCCATTCACGGTTGTCTACAGTAGGGTTCCATTATGTAGTTACATGTCACTGTTCAGTTTGAGCTAGGTCAGACTGGTAACTCAAACAAAAAACAAGCTGCACTTCAGTTTGTGCTAAATTGGTCAAATTTAAACTTAAGGGTGCCTAGATTTGAAAAACTTTTGTATGATCACTGGCTTCTGTTATAGGGCACAAAACATCCTCAGCTAAAACATACCTGTCCATCCAGCACAGGCAAATGAAACCAATTACATTAGTCCTATTAAATTGCTAGTAGTTCTGTGTTTAACTAACTTAAAGACCTTAGCAGGGCTACACATCATTGTCAAGACCATAGAAACAACCATTTGGCAGTATCTCAGGTCTAAATAGGTTTTAAATGCCTAGCTCTGATAAACACCTGAGAGACTAATTTCTGCACAAAACTAGAAGCAGCGAACTGCACAGCAACTTACTGAGATCACCATAAGAGGGAAATTTGTTTTGAACCTGACTTCTGAATATTATGAATAATTTTGGAAGAGTGTAACCTAGCATGTAAGCATTTAATAATCTTCAACTGCTCCAAGCCAGTGAAGTGGATACTCTGGAGACACAATTTGGGAGGTAAAACAGGTTGACATCGTGTTCAGCATACCAGCTAGGGAAGCTAGCTGAAAAATCCCCTTCTGTTCAATTGTCACATTTTGGGGTTAAACAAGCATTACCAGACTCAGATTTTACTCCCATCTGTGATATGTCACCATAATGAAAATTCCACTTTTACCACCTTCACTGCTCCCCAGGAACCTAATTTTTTTCATGGTCTCTTACAATCAGAGCCTGTAAAGGCTGCAAAAGTCATCTACAGCACTGGCTATGGTCTCAAGCACCTAACAACTATACTGTTGTGTGTTTCTATACAACTTAGCTTAAGTCTAGCCCAAATACATGCACTAGTTTCAACACCTTTGAGTTGCAGCCTAGCTATACTCTAAATAAAAATGTGTTTAAAATACAGAAGACCTTAATGACTCCTTAAAGAGTCTGGAAAGCTATTTCAGTTGAGTTGCACCCTAGCTATACTCTAAATAAAAATGTGTTTAAAATACAGAAGACCGTAATGACTCCTTAAAGAGTCTGGAAAGCTATTTCTGCCTTAGTAAAGAAGGATTTCAGGACTTAGCACTTCCTAATTGTGTGAAGATTGTCTGGAAATAAACACATGCACAGCAAGGTCTGCTTTGCTCTAGTATCACACACACAGAACAGAACTGTTTGGTAAATGTAAAAACCTAAGCACTGAAGTATTTAAAATACTGGGGAAAATGTCAGCAAAAACGAGGACAGTGAGGACTTGAATGGTCAATGTCCTGTCCTGCTTTTAGCATTAGACAGTGAACTTGGCTGGTCAGCTGGATTCAACAGGCATTCAACCAGACTGTGGTGCAAACAAAGCATGTTTCTATGAAATTCAGGCAAATTCAGGGAAATCTGAAGAGCTATGTTATGTGGAAATTTGAACTAGAAAATCACTATAGTCTCTTCCAGCACAATATTCTCTTTTCAAAAGGTTAGCCAGTTGCCTTATGCATCACTGAACTCAAGGCCTGCAACTAAGCTCATTTAGGGGATGGATAAATCTTTTAATTAATTTCAATAGGCTTTGGATGAGGTCCTAGCAGAAACTGTGATTCAGCAGTTCATAGAACTAGGAAAGAAGCAAAAGTCTGCTTTATCACTCATAGCTAGTGGACAAGAATTATATGAAAATAGTTAAAAAGAGGTGGATGGAAGATCATTCCATAACAGTATGAGGGTACATTCCTTGCTTGGATGTAAGCCTGAAGAATTTGCATTTGCTGGAAAGTACTGACAGAAGCATAGCATATAATGCTCTCCCAGAAGTGCCCAGTAATAACACTTCTGATGCTGGTTCTGATGATGGGATGAGTCAAAACCTTTCACTCACACTATGGTGATGAAGGGCGTGCCACACACTGAA